ACAGCTTGTTAATTAGAGGAGGACCCTGACTGTATGACCCAGGGTGCTGTGAAGCACCTCAGGCCTGGGCCCTGTGTCTGAGGGCCATTCCTGGAAGACTTGGCCCTGCCCTCAAGGATCCTCTGGTCTAAGTGGGAAAGCCAGCTTAATGCCCTGGGGGTCCCTCCACCCTCCTGGGAAAAGAGCTCTGGACTTGGGTTTGAATCCCAGCTCTGCCACTCCTTAGCTCTGTGACCTTGGGCGCATTCCTTAACCTCTCTGAACCTCTGTTTCTCTGTCAGTGAAATGTGGAAATGATAGCGCTTCACTAGGTGGTTGCAAAGATTAAACAATTTAACATGAGCAAAGCACCCGGTGTCATCCCCGGCGCGTAGGAAAACCGCATCCCGATACTCTTCCCGCAGATGAATCAAAGTCAGAGCCGCAGCGCTCTTTCGACCTTACAGTGGCGTCTTCACCACTGTGGGGGGAGGAGGCTGACCCTGACCTTCCATGGCTGAGCTTCCTGCTGGGAATCCCCAGCTTCCTGCCAGCTCTCCCACGGCCCAGGTCTCCTCCGGGTGGACCTTCAGATGCTCCGAGAGTCAGACTCATCCGTGGGCCTGGCAACGTCTGGTGGCTTCCAGAAGCCTCGGCGTGCTCTTCTGACAAATGGCCCAGGCCCAGCACTCCCTGAGGTGTTTGGAGGCCTGTTGGCAACTCTACCAGGAAGCCCAAGACGCGCAGGGCCCACGATCCGGGGTGGGGAGACGAGCCTCATTAGACAGCTCCAGCACCCGCGGGACCTGTCGCCATGGCAGCCAGCCCTCCTGCAGACCAGGTGGTTTTTATTACTGAACTTGGAAAACTTTACGGTGGCACCAACAATGAATCTTTATTCTGTTGTTAATAGCGTGCCTCTTATTAGCATGCATCTTTTCCCCTTCTTAATAACCTTTACATTTCCAAGCCGCATTTATAATTAAGTCATTAATCCCTTACTGGAATTTCTTGTTTTTCAGAAGCAGCAAACCAGAGGCCCCGTCTGGCTGGTGTGAGTGGAAGGGCACAGGCACCACCAAATTGCTCTGGGAATGTCATTCTAATTATTGGATCCTGCCCCAGCAGCCTGCTGATAAGCTCTGGGTTGGAGACACCCATCCCGGGGGAGCTCAAGGGCTGCTCAGGGCTTTTTCTCACCCTCTGTAACTTCCCTGCCACACAATTAGCCTTCAAGGGTACCTGGGCGCTGGAGGCTGGCAGCAGCCAGGTGCTCAAGGGCGGTGGTGGGGAGGGCCCCAGTGTGGGGACGTCCTCTGCTGTGTTTCTGGATTGTCGTTCTCACCCTTCCTTCCCTTCAATGCGAGCGTTGGGCTCCAGTCTGCACCCTGGGGAGTAGGAAGAGCTTGACTTGTTGATCCTTGGGCTTCCGTTATGAGCCGGACTGTGTCCCCTGCCCCCAGACCCTCATGTTGAAGTCCTTAACGCCTAGCAACTCAGAATGTGGCCGTCTCTGGAGATAGGGTCTTCAAAGAGCTAATTAAGTTAAAAGGAGGTCATGGGGGTGGGGGGCTTATCCACTAAGACTGGTGTCCTTATGAGAAGAGGAAACTGGGACGTGGACATGGACCCAGGGAAGACCACAGGGCGGCAGACAGAAGATGCCGTGGACAAGCTAAGGAGAGAGGCCTCAGGAGGAGCCGACCTGGCCGACGCCTTGGTCTCAGACTTCTGGCCTCCAGAACTGTGAGGGAGTTCATTTCTGCTGTCTCGGCCACCCAGCCTGTGGTGCCTGGTTACGGCAGCCCCAGCAAGCTCCTACGGCTTCCTCTGGCCCTGACGCGTGCGCGCTCTGCGTCTCCACTTATCTGCCTTCCGGTACTCCAAGGACCCAGGAGACAGGAGCCAAGTCTCTTGGCCCCTGGCCCAGGCCGTGCAGGAGGCAGGGCCACCCTGCCACAGTATGAGGGGCGCAGAGGCTCCTCTTCTACAACTTCGTTAGCTCCTGGCCTCCAGAGTTTGGCTTCTAGAGTCAGGGACTTTGGTAGGGGTTCACCGAGACCTTGCAGCGTTCAGAGCCAGGCTTGAGCCAGGAAGCCCATTGGCGCACTCTCAGGCAGCACCAGGCCCAACACCAGAGTGGAGGCTGGCAACGACAAACAGGTGGGCGGGGCTACTGGGGAAGCGGCACAGGCAGGCTCTTGGCATTTCCAAGCCGCATTTATAATTAAGTCATTAATCCCTTACTGGAATTTCTTGTTTTTCAGAAGCAGCAAACCAGAGGCCCCGTCTGGCTGGTGTGAGTGGAAGGGCACAGGCACCACCAAATTGCTCTGGGAATGTCATTCTAATTATTGGATCCTGCCCCAGCAGCCTGCTGATAAGCTCTGGGTTGGAGACACCCATCCCGGGGGAGCTCAAGGGCTGCTCAGGGCTTTTTCTCACCCTCTGTAACTTCCCTGCCACACAATTAGCCTTCAAGGGTACCTGGGCGCTGGAGGCTGGCAGCAGCCAGGTGCTCAAGGGCGGTGGTGGGGAGGGCCCCAGCGTGGGGACGTCCTCTGCTGTGTTTCTGGATTGTCGTTCTCACCCTTCCTTCCCTTCAATGCGAGCGTTGGGCTCCAGTCTGCACCCTGGGGAGTAGGAAGAGCTTGACTTGTTGATCCTTGGGCTTCCGTTATGAGCCGGACTGTGTCCCCTGCCCCCAGACCCTCATGTTGAAGTCCTTAACGCCTAGCAACTCAGAATGTGGCCGTCTCTGGAGATAGGGTCTTCAAAGAGCTAATTAAGTTAAAAGGAGGTCATGGGGGTGGGGGGCTTATCCACTAAGACTGGTGTCCTTATGAGAAGAGGAAACTGGGACGTGGACATGGACCCAGGGAAGACCACAGGGCGGCAGACAGAAGATGCCGTGGACAAGCTAAGGAGAGAGGCCTCAGGAGGAGCCGACCTGGCCGACGCCTTGGTCTCAGACTTCTGGCCTCCAGAACTGTGAGGGAGTTCATTTCTGCTGTCTCGGCCACCCAGCCTGTGGTGCCTGGTTACGGCAGCCCCAGCAAGCTCCTACGGCTTCCTCTGGCCCTGACGCGTGCGCGCTCTGCGTCTCCCACTTATCTGCCTTCCGGTACTCCAAGGACCCAGGAGACAGAGAGCCAAGTCTCTTGGCCCCTGGCCCAGGCCGTGCTCAGGAGGCAGGGCCCACCCTGCCACAGTATGAGGGGCAGAGGCTCCTCTTCTACAACTTCCGTTAGCTCCTGGCCTCCAGAGTTGGCTTCTAGAGTCAGGGACTTTGGTAAGGGCGTTCACCCGAGACCTTGATGGTGAGTCCAGGCCAAGACCCCGCAGGCTGAGCCAGGAGCCCCATTCCAGCTTCTCAGGCAGCACCAGGGCCCAACACAGAGTGGAGAGCTGGCACAAGCACAGGTGCGGGGCAGACTGGGGAAGGGCACGGCAGCTTTGGGTATCTACAGTGCCCCGGCCTTCATCACAGGTGGTCTGCCGTGGACTGGGTGGGCCAGCTTGAAGGCCTTCTGTGCCTCCCACATGGACAGACACGTAGAGACTTGTAGCCCATGCCTCCTTCCTGCTGTCTCCTGGCTGTTCATGTATCTCTTACTTAGGAGCCATCAGTGACTCGTCATTGCTGTCAGTGTGACTTCCCAGCCACTGTTGAGTCTGTCTCCTACTCCATGGTCATCTCAGGTACTCTTCCCTTTTGACAACTGAACTTCTTGGTGTTCCCCACTGTAACATATTATTTTACAGTTAATTTATCCTTCCATCCACCCATCCATCCACCCACCCATCCAACCATCCATCCAACCATCCATCCATCCACCCATCCACCCACCCTTCCATCCACCCATCCATCCATCCTTCCATCCTTCCATCCACCCATCCACCCATTCATCCATCTACCCATCCATCCATCCTTCCATCCACCCATCCAACCATCCATCCATCCATCCATCCATCCTTCCATCCATCCATCCATCCATCCATCCTTCCATCCACCCATCCATCCTTCCATCCACCCATCCATCCATCCACCCATCCATCAATACTTGCCCACTGCCTGCCACCTACGCTGCGCTTGGCCCTGGTAGCACAGTGCTGAGTCCACATTGCGGACTCTCCCCTTATAGAGCTCAGAGTATAGCAGGGGAGTTAGACATCAAGTCCACCAAATGATTGACATCTAAAATTATAAGCCAAGAGAAAAATCAGGGGAACGAGTGCTGAACATATGGAAGCACGGGACTGATAGGGTTGGGAGTTGAGATAAGCTCCGTGCACAGGGGCATCGAGTGAGCTGGGACCTGCACCATGAGAGTTAATCAAGAGGAGGGGAAGGAAGGAGGTTCTTGACAGAAGGAGGGGTGGCATGTGCAAAGTCCTTGAAGTGACTGAGAGCTGGAAGAAAGCCGAGTGACTGCTGGACTTGGAGCTCCTGGGGGTACGGGCTGGGGCAATGCGTCTCCTTATTTCTAAGCCAGCCCTGGCTCATGCTGGGAACTCAGTAAGAAGAGGCACCGGAGGGGGTATAGCCATCCTCTGCATGGGGATGGCAGTTTGCTCAAGGACTTTTGTAGCCCAGGACAGTCCCCACGTACCATCTCCAGGGTGTACTGTTCAGGTCATCTATCTACTCTGGAGCTCAGAATCTTTCTTTTTCCCTTTCTACTGTTAGAATTTTGAAAGGTTTTTCTCTAGATTTTTGGGTGTGGGTCACTCAGATTTCTGCAGGCTGCCCTAGCCCAGGCAGTCACTTTTCCCCTCTGGCTTGGCTCCATCTGTCAAATCCATACACATGAGCTTCCGGCAGTCCTGTGGGCATGTCTCCCATGTGCTCACAAACCAGGCCGGTCTGATACTGTGTAGCATCTGTCATGTTTTAGCGTTGCCCTTGGCGATGCCCACATCTGAGACCTCAGATGTCAAGACTGGAGTGAAAACGCCTTCACTACCACCTCTGCCGAGAGTAGCAACACCTCAAGGTGCCAAAGAGATGTCCAGCCAGCCAGCATGGAGCTGCCGTGTGAATTTCTGTCCAGAAGGTGAAGAACGCGCCTGTTCTTTCTATGCGACAGTTGGTCCCCTGGGCACCCGGACAGCTGTCTGACCACTGCTTGAAAATGGTGCCCAGTGTCCACCTGCAGCTCTCTCCCACTCAGGCTTGGTTTGTGGAGCTGGGCTGGGGACCAGACGTTGGAGGCAAGCTGTGCAGGCAATGCCCATGGGAGCTCACACCCCTGAGAGAGCTCCTCTCCGAAACCTTCCTGCAAACAAACATGCAAATTGGACCCCTGGGAGCCCATCTCACAAGATGACCATGCATGCTTAGAAATATCTGGATCCTCACATAGACATAACTCAGGCTCTAACTTCACTCTAGTATACAGGGTTATTACTATATTTTATAAGTTATAATCAGTGTTTATTCCATCTTGAGGGCTTTTGTAACATCCTGTCTGTAAGAATGTCCATATCACTATATTCTCCATAGGCATAACTCCTAGCAGCTCCCTCTTAGTCCATTAAGTGGATGCACCACTTTACCTAAGTATTCCCCTATTGTTGGACATTTAGATTATTTCCAGATTGTTGTTATAAATGATATGCATGAAGAATCACCATGTATTTGATATGTATTTTCAGAAAAAGAATGACCAAGTTAGGAAGTATAAAATTGTTTGATCCATGGAGTTCAATTGCCATCCGCTGGCTTGTAGCAACTCACATGTCCACCAGCACTTTATGTGGGTAGGTCCCAGGTCCCAGGTCCTTATTATAGTTGCCATGAGACCTGCCTGGCTGGATTACCTGTCCTTCACAATACCAGGAGAGGTTCTTGAAGCTTTTATGAAGATCAAAGGAGTTGGCTAAGGACAGAATGCAGACCATAGAATAGGCTGCACAGAGCTTCTAACCAAATATTTAAATGTAAATATGGATCTAAAATAACCAATTGTTTACAGCTCCAGCTCCTGTTGGCTCTCGTGTCAAGTGGCAAGCTCCCCTCCTGGGATGCATGAGTGAGGAAGAAATCCCTTACTCAGCGTGGTAAGGTGAGGCCCTACCACTGTCCCCAGTTGCCTCTGTCACCTGGGATGCGGATCATGCCCTGCTTCTCTTCTGTGCCCACCTTGACCCTATTCCAACTGATCCACATCGTAGCAGGTGCTCACCCACTTGTACTGGGGCTGGCCTGACAGTGGCATAAGAGTTCTCACTCAGAAGTTGCCCAAACCCACACTCCAAGGCAGGTTCTTCATTGCCTGTGTCTCTGCAGCGTTGCCTGTTTTTGCTCCATTTGCTGCTATTCAGACCTGCTGGAACAGCTGGAGGTGGGGCTCTCCAATTTGGCAATTATGTCTTCTGCAGGTGCCTGGTACAAAATGGCCATCTCTTTCTCTTTGCATTTTGTTGGTAGAAGGTGTTTGTGGACCTTCCCAGATATTTATGGAAGAGAAAATCTACTTCATATATGTGCATGATACCTGAATTCATGCTTACACCATTTTCTAGGTTGCTTAAGTAAGTGGCCCTCCACTATGTGCCCTTTTGTGTGTATGTGGGGTATATTTAACTCTTTCATGCTACACCTTCACCATCCATTAACTAAAGTGATAACTTATATGGTTGGTCCCCAATTTCTGAGGGTTCCACTTATGATTTTTTGACTTTAGGATGGTAGCATTTTGATGTAACGTACAGTTACAGCATTCAGCAAATTACATGAGATAATCAACACTTTATTATGAAGCAAGCTTTTTGTTAGATGATTTTGCCCAAGTATGGGCTATCACTGCTCTGAACATGTTTAAGGAAGGCTGGGCTAAGCTACGCTGTTCAGCAGGTTAAGTGTATTAAATACATTTTTTACTTAAAATATTTTCAACTTACAATGAGTTTATCAGAACATAATCCCATAACCTCATCTAAGTCAAGGACCATCTATTCGTGGTTAAGAGGAGGAAGAACCCCTCCTAGCAGGGGTTCTATCTGCCTTTTGAATGGGACAATTTTTATGAATCATCTTTAAAAATAAAAAGCAAAAATTTATCATGGGAGAATGACAGGCTGGGAGACAAGGATCTGAGTCACTCCATAGAGGCCCATCTCATTTGGGGGCCATCTTTGGGTCATTGTTTGGAGGTGATGGAAAAGCTCGTAATTTCCTACTTGATAGGTTGTATCAGAGACCTCAGTCCCCTGCCAGCAACTCAGGAACAGGTGAGCAGTTTAACATAGTGACCAAGTCAGACTGTAGTCAGACGGCCTGAACTCAAGCCCTGGCCCTTCCACATGTAGCTGTGTGACTTTGGCAGAAGCACTTCACCTTCCTGGGCTCCAGCTGTCTCACGTGTAATCTAGAACAACAATATCCACTTAATAACACTGTAGGGATTAAATGAGATAATTAGTGCAAAGTGCTTAATGTACTACCTGGCACACAGTAGGGGCCTAATAATTACTTGCCATTATTGTAATTATAAGCATTTCATTCTCAGAATCCTCTGCCCAGGGCTCCAGCAATAACTGAACACTGTGTACAATGTCTTACAGCTCACAGATGATGTTCATTCCATTAACCCTTTGGATCTCACAATGATGGGGGAGGAGAGTTGTTTTTATTTCCCTGATCTTGATATGTCATCCTCAACTCTAAAATGTGAACAATTCCATCCTCCACCTTCCTTTAGGACTGCAGCGAGAATCCCACAAGAAGGTCAATGTTAATTACATTATAAGGTCTACAACAGCATACAAGTGGAAGTTGCGTGTGCATTTGGACCTGCCATTTGAGCCTGCACTTTTTGCAAAGCTAAATCTTTTGTCTAACCACATAACAAGTTTCACAGGCACAGCTGCTGCCCTGTCTCCATCCGTGACCTCACACTTGAAGGTCACATGACATACTGGAACACTGTAGGAACACTCAGACAGACTTGGATGACTCTGACTTCGGGCAAGTTACTTAATGTCTCAGCTTCCTCTTCTTTACAGTCAAGGAGTACTATCTATGACAGAGTTATTATAAAAATTCAATGAAATAATTTAAGTAAAATACTTGCCCATATATTCAACAGTTATTTACTGAGCATCTACTATGTATTAGACATGATCATGGGAAGTGGGAATAGGGTGCTGAACAGAGATGATGTCCCTGTCCTCTTGGAGTGGGGGAAACAGACCAGCCCATGCACGATTGCACAAAATATGACAAAACTTGACTGCAAACAGCTTTAAACATCCAGGTAACTAAACAACTCATGCAATAAATCCAGAGACAAGGCTAGCCCCGGGTTGGTGGCTGCACCAGCTGCTGAACGCCATCAAGGCTAAATCTTCCCGTCTTTCTGCCCTGCCATCCTCAGCACACCAGCGCCGGTCTCCAGGCTGGCCACGTCTTCATGGTCACAAGACGGCTGCAGAAGCTCCAGGCTGGCATCCTCACGTGGCCGTGGAAAAAGGCCAGGAAGGCCAAGGACCCTACTCGGTATCCGTTTTTATTTTTTTCTTAGGGTGAAATCCATGTAACATAAAACGAATCATTCAAAGTACAATTCGGTGGCATTTAATACATTCACAATGTTGTACAACCACCACCTATATCAAGTTCCAAGACATTTTCATTACCCCCAAACAAAAACCCTAAGAATCCTTTCCCAGAAGCTCAGAAGACACGCCCTCAAGTCTCATTGACTCAAGTTGAGTCGCATGATCATTCTTACACCCGTCCCCGGCAAGGAGTGTGAAATTATTGTGATTGGCCAATCAAAAGTCCCTTCAAATCTCATGGTTTGAAACCCAAAACCATGATATTCCTGTAAGAATGAATGAATGAATGAATGAATGAATGAGATTGTCGGCAGAGGGTGGAGCACGTAATAGATGCCCAATGTATGCTTCCTTCCCAGATTAATGAATGACAGGTGAGTGTGCAGAACACATGCCTGCCTTTCCAACTCGCCAAATAGGAAAAGCAAACAAACAAACAAAAAACCGAAAATGGCCCCTTTGAGGGCATGCCCAGCGCATCTTCAGAGCGTGGGGAGGGGCCTCTGCCGTCGGAGAACAGCACACTCTGCTTCAGAGACGGCCAGCAACTGGCATCTGGAGCCGGGACGGCTTGCCAGCCTCTCGCGAGTTTCCTAACCACACTGCTTTTCTGATCTTTTTCACTACCCCAAACCGACTGCTCTTCTATTCCTTTTAAAAAATGTTACTCAGAAACAGCAGACCATATTATGCATTTTTGAGACACCTGTTTGCAATCACGTTTCCTTCTATGGAACTATTTTGAAGCTTGTTTTCAGGAGCTACCTAGAAAGCCAAGATGGCATCGCTAACACCTGCGCAGAATGTTCCTGGCACCTCGTCTTGGAGGGAGGGTGCACTTCCCTTTCCTCCTCACCTTATGGTGGCTTGTGAGAACGGTGCATCGTCCTTACCCGTCTGATAGCACTTCGGGTGAAGGGAACATTCCAGATCACCCTCGTGGCTCTCACCAGAACCAATGGCTACTTAGGTTGGCATCTTCCCTGCAGTCCCACTGGGGGCCAGGCCACCCCGGGCTGCTCCAGGGGGCAGGGTGGGCCAGAGACCCCCATCGGGGACGCAAAGGCAATACTTTAGCCACACCAGGCTTCAGTGACTCATCTCCCCTTTCAGAGGTTCATTTATTCACTTACTTAACAAATACTGGTGGAGGTCATGCGTGTGCCTGACCCCATGCTAGGGCCTGGCACACACTGTAGGAGACCCTGCCTCCTTGGAGCTTAAAGTCTTCACTAGCTAAATAACATTTCAAATCTATAACTGTGTGCTGTGGGAAATCTTTATGTGTGCAACATCCAACTGGTCCACTCCATCACCAAGAAAAAAAAAACAAACAAAAAAAAACAGGAGTGACAACAGTCTTATCGCCAGGCAATTCCAAACGCACACAGAATCCAGATGAAGCAGCAAACTGGCCGTGACTGTTCCCTGCAGTCCTTTCCATGTTCCCCCGAGGCTGCCTCGAGGAAGTCCAGACACTTTCCCTCTCAGCTTATTTTGGAAAATCTTTTGCTGCTATCTCATTTGCAAGTCTGTCTTTTCATAGCTTGGGTAAATACACGATAAAGCAAGTATAGTAAAATATTAATTATAGCATCTAAGTCATGGGTCAACAAACTTTTTCTTAAAGGGCCAGCTAGGGAGTGTTCTCCGCATTTTGCAGGCCATATGGTCTGTGTTGGGACTGCCCGGCTCTGCAGTGGCATCACGAAAGCAGTCACAGACAATTCGTAAACAAATGGGCCCGACTGTTTCCAATAAAATTGTATTTATAGACACTTCAATTTCAATTTCATATAGTTTTCACATGTCACATAATATCATTCTTCTGTGGATTTCTTTTCTTCCACCATTTAAAAATCATTCTTAGCTCGAAGGCTGTGCAAAAATAGAAGGGGGGCGGAGTTTGGCCGTTGGGCCGCAGCTTGCCCGTTCCTGCTTTGGGTGGCGGGAATGTGGGTATTCTTTCAACTTTTTGAGATGTTTGAAATATTCCATATACAATGTTGGGAAATTGTCTTTTCTAAGTCTGGCTTGTCTTTTAACTTTGTTTTGATTTTTTTTTTAACTTAAAAATAAATTTTTTGGACCATACTGAAGTACTTTATTTGTAGCTAGCTGAATCTGCCAACCTTTTCCTTTGTGGTTTGTGACTTTGTACTTTGTTAAGGAATCTCTCCCTACCCTGCCGTCACACACACGCGCTCTCATGTTTTCTGTAATCCCGCGGGCATGCCCCATGTGCCTGACGGGAGCTCGAGCAGAATGGAGCCACGTCCACGAGGGCACTCAGTCTTCCCAGGTCCTGGGTCACTGGTCGGTCCTTTTCTGCCCATTGGGAAGTTCATCTTGGTCACCTGCTGAGCTGCCCGATGGGCAGGTCTGATTCTGGGCTGTCCCCACGTCCCTTTGTCCATCCCTGGGATGCTTCTGTTTCTTCTTGTCTCTCCTCCCCCACCCCAGCCCCCAACCCTCTACAGTGG